CTGAGTGATGGGAGCAGCAGGTACAGGAGGGGCAGGCCGAGTGTGCCCGTCCCTCCTGCAGCCGTGCCAGTCTCCCGAGGCCTGTCGGTTATCTTGTCAGGCGGTGACTTCTGTTGCGTTTGAAAACAGTAAATGTCATACAAAAGTATAGGTGATTTATAGACACGACTGCAGGAGCACTTAAAATCTGCAATGCAGCGAAACAAGCTACGCCACCAGATTGTGTTATTACCACAGAGCGGGAAACAACAACAAACACATAAAGAACAAGAATCTGAGAAAAGAAATAACTACTTGAGAGCAATCAGCTCCAAAGTACAAACCGCTTCCCAGCTCGCCCGGTTCCCCAGTTCTTAGAACATTCAGTCAATCGATCTGACGAATAGCGCTCTGGTGCAGTAAGTAACAAAAGCACTAGCAGTCAAATCCAGAGGCAGGCTGTTCTCTGGCAGGCTTTGCAGCCAGACAGTACGCCATCTGACAAAATGCAGAAGGCCTGGGTAAAGGCACGGGGAGAGAAACCCCAGGAGATTCAGGTGTGTTATAAGCTGGGGCTAAAGTGGCCATGTGTGCTGGGACCTATTTGGAAACAGTCGACTGTCCATCTGCTTTTTGAGGCTCCCTCTTTGGAGTCACTGTTAAGTAGAATTAAACTGTTCTGCTTCAGACCAGCAGGCGGTGTGGTGGTTAAGGCTCCCGGGTCTCCCACGAGGATTGCAGGATGGCCATCTCCCCCCCCACCCCCACGGTGGTAGTGCTGGGGATGATTTCTCACTTTGCCTCTCTGTGTGTCTCTCTGTCTTTAGAGAGGATATACACCCTATGGCAAAGGCCTTAAAAAATAAAAAAAATAAAAATTGAACTTCCATCACTGGATCTGTTAGCAAGAACAAAAGTTCAGAGCCAAGACATCAGAAATTGGCCCTGCATGGGCCTCTCTGTTCCATGGCATGCCCACCCTGCTAGTCCATCCTAGGCAGTGGCCCTGATCTGGGCTTCTGTTACTCCCTGTCTGTGACATGACTTCGGTCTAGTCCCCAGCTTCCTGCTCATGGCTCTCAGCTTTGTTCTCAGTCTGTGTCAATCCAAACCAGTTTCCACAGCTAGGTCACCCTCCGGATGGGCTGCATGCGCTCGGCTCACTTCATGCGTGCTCTTGGCTCGCCTAGGGCTTGTGCTCAGCTCACCTAGGGCGTGCACTTGGCTCACCTTGCTCATCCTTTCCATCCTGTTGCACTTGGCTGTTAATATTTTGCCTTCTCCCCACTTTTCCTTTTATATTTACTGCTTTGGCCCCTAAAGTTCTTGCTCCCCTAACTGTGTATTCCTGTACGCTGTCCATACTAGCCGCCACACGTCCAGGGCTCCAAATTGGTTTCATTGCTGCACGGCAAAGTCTCCCAGCCAAACTTCTGCTCTCTAACCTGCCTTGACCCCTCTGCACCAGGCCAACCAACCCAGCTCAGGCAGAAGCTGATCACATATAATCAAATAGGAGAGGGACAGTGCTAAATTATCCTGGCCTATCACAAAGGCACACTGTTTCTTCACTTAAGGACCATAAAGCTCGGAGGTTTCACACAAGAAGTGCAGCTCCGGCTCCTCTATCTGCACTGCTGTATTCATTACTGTTATCTTATGGACTTCACTGGGTGTGAGCAAATAAGCAAATATAAATGGGAGAGCAAGATAGAAGGTTTTCTTTTCTTTTCTTTTCTTTTCTTTTTTTTTTGAAAGGTTTTTGCTATAGGGCATGTGCGCTCGCCAGACAGAGAGAGAGAGACAGAGAGATAGAAAGCAAGAAATCACCCCCCAGGGGGGATGGCCACGCTGCAATCCCTTCTCCTCCATTGTCCTCTTGGGATCTTGGGTATGCACGCACACACACCTGGCGTGAGTTTAAGCCACCGGGTCCAGGACTCGAACCACGGTCGACTACATGGGAGTCCAGCGACATAGCCATTATGCTAACTGCTGGTCCCTAGAAGGTTTTCTTTAGAATAGGGAAACATGGGCCTGCTCTGTAGCCTAGTGGTTAAGGGAGCCAGATCCCAGATGGCCAATCACTTCAAATCCAGACCCAGCAGCTTGAAAATCCCCAACAGGATGGAGCAGTGGAGGAGAAGGGATTGCAGTGTGACCACGCTCCTTTGGGAAGACTTTCTCTTTCCCCCTCTCTGTTTCTCTGTCTTTGGGGAGCACAGGTGCCTTTGGTAATTAAAAAATAAATTTAAATAAAAGAAGAGGCGAAATGGGAGAGTCCAGTCAAAGGTTCAACCTTGCCTGTCAGGTCTTCCTGTCCAGGGTGGGGTTGCAGTTTCCACAGTTTATGAGGTGAGGGAGGGTTATCACATTCTTCATTTGTGCATTTATATAATGGGACAACCGGACCAACCGACACACCTGTATAACTTACAGTTGAACCATTATAACTTAGTATACCTCAAGCCTTACTGTTTTATCTTTAAAATGTCAGTGAGGTCATTTTACCTCAAGAACATAGAAACGTCTTCAAAATCTAAGGCTTCTGCTCTGCTTGACATATACTGCTGGCCTCTTTACAACACCAACATGCAAACTAGACTGTAAACTCGAGGGTGACATAGAATGAGTCATTATCTCCCAAGCCCTAAATTGCTCTCTTATCATAAGGCCGTTTCTGCTGAGACAC